ACAGTTGGTTAAACTTCCCGTGTGACATCAGGTGGTAGTGTTCGTTGTTAATCTTCTGTGGAGAAGTGGGGAAGTTGAACGGTGAGACAACTTCTTTGGTGATGTTGGGAGGTAGCATTGCTCGACTTCTTGTGGCAGTGTCAGAAGGGAGAGTGTTAGACTTTGGTCATGATGTCAGCAAGTGGAGTAGTTAAACTTTCTCTGGTGATGTCAGCAGGTAGAATGGTCATACTTCCTGTGTGATGTCAGCATGGGCAGTGGTAAAGAGAACATGGGAACCAAAGGCTAGTGTCCGGAAAGCCAGCAGGGGAGTGACCAGGAAGCAGCAGCACTGTGATGCTGATGAGCAGAGCAGGGTCTCGGTGCTGTGTCCTGGAAGGATGGTGGGGAGAGCCCTGACGAACAAGGATTGGCCTCCAGAGAGGGCTCTCCTTTGGTTCGAAGGAGCCGGTGCTGGAAGGAAGACCTTTGTTGGCAGTACTGCCAGGACAGAACAAGGCTGGACTGGTAGTTGGGAGGGGAGGACAAAATGGAGCAAGATGAGCTCTCGTTCCTGGACCTGCTGTGAGCGAGGCATGTTGACCTCTGCACAGGAGAGCCGACAGGGGCCCTTTTCACGGGGGTCAAGTCATAGTCCACGTTTGTTTTTTTAAAGAAAGAAAAATTGCACCCGTTGCCCTCGAATTGATTCCAATTTACGGCAACCACATGTTATTAGAGGGTCGAACTTTTCTGTAGTCTTTTTGTGGATATAATCACTCCATGGGAAAGCCATGTAGCTGCTGGCATGCATACGGATTGCTGCCCTGGGAGTCCTGTCGTGGAACAGTTCTCCTCTGACCCAGAGGGTTGATAGGAGTTGGAATCGATTGGATGCCAACAGGCTTTCGTTTTGAATCTTTACAGATGCAAGCCAGCAGACCTTTCTATCATAACTGCTGGATACATCCCAAATGCCAGCTGTTAGGTTCGTAGTCAAATGGAGACCATGTGCCTCATGCAGGGATCTACCTGAGTCAAATACGAGAACATGTTATACCCATGTATGGGACAAGGAGGGAGAGAGCAAAGGCACTTAGCAGCCACCGGGGTAAGGAGTAAGACCTGTCAGGTAGCCTTGTGAGCTTGAGGAGGCAACTGTCTTTGACATCTGTCATTCATTCATGGGAAACAAGGGTGGCATTGCATTTGGGAAACTCTGATCTTGAGGGTCGCTTGTCCTGTCGTTGGAAGGCAGTGTGCCAAGCACTGGATTCCACCCTTACCACTTCCTCCCTCACGTATCCACATATCATCGTGCAAGCTACGTGTCTTAGGTTGCCGCTGACACTGCAACTTCTCCTGAGCCATTTCCCATTGAAGGGCAGAGCCAAGACTCATGGCCAGAGCCCAGGCTCTCGGTGACTTGGTTGAGATGACCTCTAGTGAGTGTACCTTTGGTCCCAACAGTTTGACTTTCGATCCATGATACCCCAGAGGGTACCCCTAGGCGTTCAAGGGTTTCTTCAGCTGTTATGGGATCGGCCCTACTCTGTATGGAGAGACTGGGACCCCCATACATTGGTGATGAGACTACAAAGTGGCACGACTATCGTGGAAAAGGGCCGGGCACTGCTTTGAAACTTGGAAGTAAACATACCAGATGACCCAGAAATCGTCCTTGGTGTCCATGTCCTGGAACTACGAGCCGCAACAAGCAGATAGATGCACACGCATGGCAGCTCTTGTCACGGTAGCAAGAAGGTCAAAATAACCTCCAGGCCAGTCCGTGGAAGAATGGTAGGTGCATTGTGCCACATGCTGTGTTCCACCAAGCACTGAGTGATGGTGAATCTGGGAGACAGTTCCTCACATACATGAACCTGCAAAATACCGTGGTGGATAGGAGCCTCCATGGTATAGTAGTTATGTATTGGGCTGCTAACTGCGAGGTCAGCAGTTTGAAACCACTAGTTGCTCTGCCGGAGCCAGACAGGGCTTTCTACTCCTGTAAAGAGTAAGAGTCTCAGAAATGCACAAGGATGGTTCCACCTTGCCCTAGGGCAGTGGTTCTCAACCTTCCTCATGCCGCAACCCTTTCATACAGTTCCTCATGTGGTGGTGAACCCCCAACCATAACATTATTTTCATTGCTGCTTCATCACTGTCATTTTGCTACTGTGATGAATCAGGCACCCCTGTGAAAGGGTCGTTCCACCTCCAAAGGGGTCACAACACACATCTTGAGAACCGCTGCCCCAGAGGGTCGCTCGCTGTTAGTCAGCATTGACTGGACAGCAAATTTGGTTTTCCAGTTTGCGTGGAATTAGTTTATCACAAAAGGACAAATCGTATGTGAAATCTCTGTTATAGAAAGTTTAATTGAAAAAAAAAAAAGGGTTTTCACAGTAAGGAGCGTTATTTGATGGTTAGCAGAGGTGAGTGGGAGAGGGAGGAGAAGGAGCGACATCACTGGACAGAGAGGGGGAACGCTTGTTAACTTGGGCGATAAAAACAGCAACCTCACTGTCGTTGAGTGGATGCCCCCTGATAGCCGCCCTGGAGGACAGAGTAGAACTGCCCCTGTGGGTTGTTGAGACGGTAACAGGAGTAAAAAGCCTCATGTTTCTCCCAACTTGGGTGAAGGGGAGGCACTATACACTAAGCGGGAGGTGAGCCTCGCCTTGTGGAGGCAAGGGCAGACGCTGGGATGAGTGCCAGAGGTAAAGGCAACAGAAGGAAATACTACAATACACGCAATTCTGCAAACAGTCCCCTCTACAAATAGATGCATGGATCTACCGACAGGCTGCATGGGCGTGGACGAGCAAGTGGGAATGAACCCGTGAAGATATACAGGTCTGAGAGAGAACAGCCGTGTGTGTGCTTTTGCCTCTGTGGCCAGTGGACCCAGAGATCAGTGTGTTATTGTAGGTGCTGTGAGTGGGTTCTGACGCACAGCTATCCTGTGTACAATAGAGGGAGTCGCCAGTCCTGTGCCATCTCACCATTGTGCTTATGTTCGAGCCCTGGACACAGCCCCTCCGCCAAATCCATCTTGTCGGGGGTCTTCCCTGTAGCTGTCCTTCTGGTATCCTATTCCAGGGACCGGTCTCTGCTGACCACATGTCCGTAGCACGTGCGATGAAGCCTTGCCATCCTTGCCTCTAGGAAACATCCTGGCTGTACTTCTCCCAAGACAGGTTTGTTTGTCCTGTGGTCCATCTATGATACTTTCCATATTCTTCCCCAGCACCACTAATCAAGTGCATCGATTTGTGGAGCATGCAGGGTGTAAAAGTTAGGAAAGCTGCTTTGGCAAAACCAAACACCTCAATGAATGAGTTGCTGGGTCTGGGGGCTCAGGACCATGGCCTGGGGGGGTCATCAAGTTCGTTTAGCGTAACACAGTCCACAGAGACAATGTTCTGCATCCCACGTTGTTGAGTAGTGACTGGGGCCTGAAAAGTTTGTGAGTGGAAAGAAAAGTTTGCAAGTGGCCAGCTTATGTGTAACTACGGGTCTCTCCTTGTCTGCCATGAAAGAGAGTAGTGAATGTTGAAGGCACCTAGGAGCAGTCCACTTGGACATCAGTCTCACAACCCTGAGACCTGAAGAACTAGCTGGGGCCCAGCTACCACTGCCAACTGCCTGGAAAGGTACCCCCTGAGAAGGTCTTGGATAGAGTAGGTCTGATGGGGAATGTGTGAAACAAATCCGGCTGGGCCAGAGGATGTACACTGGAACAGATAGGAACTGGAAACACGGGGAATCCAGGACAGATGAACTCCTCAGGGCCAGTGGTGAGAGTGGCAAGACCGAGAGGGTGAGGGAGAAAGGGGGAACAGATTACAAGGATCTATATATAACCTCCTCCATGGGGAATGGACAGAGGAGATGTGGGTGAAGGGAGACATCAGACGATGTAAGATATGACAAAATAATTATAATTTATAAATTATCAAGGGTTCAGGGGGGAGGGAGGAGGGGGGGAAATGAGGAGCTGATACCAAGGGCTCAGGTAGAAAGCAAATGTTTTGGGAATGATGAGGGAAACAAATATACAAAAGTGCTTGACACAATGGATGTATGTGTGGATTGTGATAAGAGTTGTACAAGCCCCCAATAAAATGATCTAATTATTTTAAAACAAAACCCTCAAAATCATAATAAGAAAAATACCAGCCTTATTGGTGAGAGAGAAACGGGTGGGACTTGTGAGACTCGGGACCCTTCATCACTCTTCAGGTCTGGGAATGAACGTAACTCCCCGTGAGTCAGTTTTCAGCCTAACGGGAGGTCTCTGAGGGTCAGTAAGACTAGGTAGGTACACACATCTTAGAATAGTCACCCATTTGAGATCAGACAGGTAGCATTGACCCATGTACAAATCCCAGAAGGTTTAGGAAAGAAAGAGGAAGGGAAACGGGGCGCTTTGGGAGGACCTGGGATAAATGAAGTTTCCAGGTGGGGATGGCAGTCCACGACACGGAACAAAGTGTATACACATGGCTCAATGGGAAACCGATCAGCTCTGTAAACCGCTCCTGATTCACAGTGAAAAGTTAAACAACGTTGATCCCAATCCAAGCCATCACCTGAGAACACCTCACAAATTCCCGGCTGTGGTGGTTTCTCCGTGTGAGAGCCTCAATTGCCAGTGAGTCCATCCTCGGGATGTATGGCTTTGTTCGTGCTTGTTAACAGTTGTCATGGTCCCTCAGCTCGGGGGCAGGAGATACACTGTTTGCCTATTTGAGCCATCACCATTTCTCTCGTCCCCGACATGTAATTGAAAAGCGCCTTAATGGTTTCCAAATGATGATGGCTTCATAAACCGATTAAAAAGGCCTTAATAAAACCATCTCGAGTTTTTTTCCACAGCTGCCAACTGTGCCCTTTCTTTCCTAATGGTCCCAACAAGAAAGCAGGGTGGTTTTTCTCTCCCATAGGTGGGGTGGAACGCAGGGCACCCTCCTGCCGTCCGAGTAACTGCTCCCTCCGTTCTCTTCCCTTCCCAGACCATCCACGTTGCTATCGTCTGCGCCGGGTACAACGCTAGCCGAGATGTCGTCACCTTGGTCAAGTCTGTCTTGTTCCACAGGTAAGCGTGACCTCTGTTCCCTGTGGGCTGGTGTCCGGGACAGACTGGCCATCTATGCATTTCCTTGGGGAGTCCTTAAGAAAAGAGCCCGAGTTCTCATTCTTTGCTCAAGCTGCCGTGGAAATGTACTTTGGGTCTGCCGCCCTGGGGGAGATGGTTATGTGAATGCTGACAAGCAGCGATTAGGTGCTATATCTTGCGGTATTAATAATGGGAGCTAACAGGACCTTCAAGGACACACACACCACCCTGCCACCTGGCCATCGAGGCTTGAATTTCCTAATCTGCTTCCCCTGCCTCAGCGTCCCTGAGCTTGTAGCCTGTCAGTGGGTTGTTCACTGTCTTTCACTGTGGCCCATCACACCTCTGGGCATTCCTGATGTAAGAAGCTCTGCTTTACATATAAATGAAAACAGTGTTCCTAAGGGAATGCCGATGGAGCTCATCCTAAGTTACAGCACCTCCCTCCAGCCATCTCTTCGTCAAATTAAACACCTGCCTTGTGTTCCTGCTCTCTCATGGGCTTTCGACTATTATCATTGCCCTGTTCTGATGGCGGTCCACACCTACGTAGCTAATACCCAGGATGGAGTTCAGCGTGCTGGCCATTGCTTTGGGTTCATTATCCCTTGATTGGGATTAAACTTGTCTATAGTTACTGCCAACAGGATGGCTCCAGAAGGTTCTGAGAAGTTGGCACAGCCATAAGAGCTGTCAAAGTTTAGCCTGATATCATTTAATGGACCACACTTGTGATTAATGGGCATATACAAAAATGGTAGAGAGTGTAATGCCCAGGACCTCGCTCCTGCTAATCCTACAAGAAATCAAGATTCTTCTTTGACTCTCCCATCTCTCTTAGTCTCCTTCTATTACCAGTGTCTCTTGGTGTTTCCTCTTAAATATTCTTCATTTCCATTCCCTCTCTGCACCCCTTAAAGCTCTCACCTGCACTGGCCTCCCTGCCAATCCCCATTTGCCTCTTCAGCTCTGTCTTAGATTGAATTGTCTAGAACCTACATATAGAACTTTCTCTCTCTCTCTCTCTCTCTCTCT